TGGTTTATGTCTAAAGGATTACATATGCACAGTCAAACCTTTATATCACTTAGCCAAGATTTCAAAGTTTCAGTGTGCTTATTCCCAATTCACTTATGAGTATCTGATGCAATAAGGATTCTCTCAACCTGGAGAAGTAACCTTGAGAGGTGTCCCTACTCAAGGGCAGGTCCTGGCATGCAGCCTGCTGCCATGCAGCAAAGCTCAATGGGCTCTGGGCTGTCTACTGTTTATGGAGTAAGATGATTAACTTATAGTCATATTTGCATACCAGATGTATTTTGGTTGGTGCATGCTCAACTAGCCCTCAACTGTTGAGCAAATTTTATAGCCCTTAGCTATTGTGTTGTTATGCGTCTCCCCAGAGTCCCACCTAAGCCGGGTACAGCCATCACAACCACCACTGGTGGCTATTCTTAAGCAGATGGCGGGGGGAAGCACACCATCACGACTGGTCAGCAGAAGAATGTAAAAAAGCCTTTGTTAGAGTATGTACGGTGGTATACAACATGAAAAGAGGTAAAGGCTCAACAGTGCTATCTGTCAACAAAATAAAGCTATGAAAAATAACATTATGCTTAGATGATTTTGAGAAGCCTATTCTGATCCAGATTAATTTGCCAGCTGAGTAAGATCTGAGAATGCTTAAGAAGAGTGAAGAAGTCTGGGATGGATTCACTTAAGTGATGTTTTTACACATTATCTTGGATGGCAGTATTATTCTTTTCCCCAAAACAACCACCAAAGAATTTGGGTGAAACCTATTGTGTACAGGAAGCCACACACAAGGCTGCTCGATCCTGCTTAGTACCAAAGACTACAAACACTTCATTACCTACGAAAGACCAACTAAGACTGTAATTTATTTACATACACCTCAAAATTTTTACAGCAGTTGAAGTATTAAAAAGAAATAACAAAAAATAAATCACATTCAAGATAAACATGGGAATTTCAAGAGATCATATAAAGTAAGTCAGTTTAACGATCTTTGATTTAAAAGGGAGTAATGAAAACTCAGAAAAAAATAGCAATTTGTGAGTTTCTAGAAAACAAAACAAAATGTATATGTACATTTCTTCAGTCAGACACTACAAAAAGCCTTTTTTCTCCACTGCTGAAATCCCCTTTTGGAGTAATGTTTTCATTAAAAGTTAGGACTATTTTCTAATGTCATCAACAATGCAACCAAGCCCCATATTTCTCTCATCTGGAAACACCTTCTGACAAGTACTGTATTAGACATTTTCAGAAGAACTAAGCATCTGTGGAAAGAAGCAGACAAATATGCAGCAAATTAGATTTGCTTGGTTCAAATTATTTGATGAAGTTGATCTGAAAAATTGATCTTCATGCTTCATCAGCATCTTATAGACATCTTGTATACATTCTCCTCCTGGCAGAAGTGCAGAGGAGTAACTTCAATTTCACTTTTCTCCTAAAATATGTAAGTTAAGGACTATTCAGTTGCACCATCATAAATATGGGTTATATAGAAAAGGCATAAAATTTAGATTGCTAGTAAAGTTCATGTACAACCTGACCGTAGTTTTACTTGCTTTCTGTTTATCCTGTAACAGTAATTTTCCTCGCGCACAGACAGCTATTTCCACTGAAAGGAGAAGAAAAAAAAAAAAAAAAAAAAGGAAAAGATGACAGTTTTAACACAGGTCTTTACTTTACTTTATAAAGGACCTGTGGCCCAAATGCATCATCTTGTCCTGGTTTGGACAAACAACATCTCTCTAATTCCAGATTCCCTCTGTGCGTGGGGAAAAAACCCTACTGCTATTCAAACACGATGTTTTATGGCTAGTTCAGTCTGTCTACATGTCAGTCTGTAAAGAAACTAATTCTGGGGCATACATACCATAGATGAAAGTCACACCAAGTAGGAAGCAAAGTATGAGCCAAAGAACTACTAGAGCAAAATAAAAGTTCACTCAAAACACAGATGTAAGTACACACACAAAAAAATCTAGACTAGCATTTAAGGGTTTTGCATGCTATTTCGCATGAAAGTATTAAATACTATTCACCAATGTGCAGACCCAAAAGGCACACTATTGAAAGTGTTCTCCCAGTTTCACATCAAACCATTGACAACTACTTTGTGAACAACTGCAGCTTTTCAAAAACCTGTTTGTTCTAGGTGATATTTTTCCTGGTTGCCTAAGAAAATACGAACAACAAAATCAGAGGCAATGAAAGCAAGCTGAATAAAGTAGGCAGATAAAAATAAATCTACAACCCCCTCCCATCAAATACCGCTTTCCAAAAAAGTGTAAAAAGCACTTATTTATCAATTTCATGCTATTCCAAAAGAGTATTTTCAACTTTATAATAAACTCTGATTAGCTTGAATGTACTCTTTTTCTACCTTATAAGAGAAGTTTTAGAGGAAATAAACCTTTCAAGGAAGAACTGATAAAACAGGCAAGTCATAGTAACTGAATGATACACAAAAATGTAAACAAGGTAACTGAAAGGTTTTAAGTAGAATGCGGACAGTAAATCTTTCTTCCATTTACATTTTGCTTCTATATTTGTGTTACGGACTTACAGGGAGGGAGGGGAAAAAAAAAGTGTCAAAGTTAAGTTTATTTAATTCCCTTGTGAACATCCTGAAGACAAACGTCCTTCGCCAGCCTGCAGGACAGAGCAATTGCCTCATCTCACACCTTAACCTCCAAGCTTGAGTATTTTTGTCGGCGCTTGCTGCGTGTTTGACTCACGCAGCGTTATTACGAGCAGCAAACGGCCCCGAGTCATTTTCTGTTTGAAACACTATAGAATAAACCCATACCGGTACACCTGTGAAAGGAAAATCAATGGCTAAATAAAACACAGTGTAAAAAGTAGCTTTCCTGTCACTAGCAATTAGACACAAAGTAAGAGCGCCAGAAAATCTAGAGTTCTTGTTCTATGTACTAGCTCTACAGTTAAAAACAAGCATTTCCAAAACGGCCCACTTGCAAGAACATCAGAGAAAGCTACTTTTGATGTACAAATACTAGAAGCAGAAAAGACTGTTTACCAGAAAAAAGTTTTAACAGCAACATTTTGAAAAGAAAATAGTAATTTTGTGAATGTTGATGATCTCTGTGTGTTGCTCCCTCTAGTGTAAAAAATACAAAATAACAATCAACAAACATTCAAAATAATCACTGAGTTAGGTAACAAACAGGTTGGTTTTTTTTTCAAAGTAATTCTCTATCCACATTTTTTCCCTAAATATTTGTTAACATGATTTCTCACATTTTAATACAAGAGGAGACAAATTTTCACGTAGCTTGAGCTTCTGATCCCAGATTCTCACTGTATTAGCAGAAAGTGATCATACCAGAAAGGAGTAGTGAATATGCAAATCCACTCCCTGTACTTTCTGCTGCAACACTCCTCAAAAAACCAGTAAGATACAGTCTGGTCTTCCCCCTTTTTTTTCCCCTCCACTAAAATACTAATTTCCATTCCAGCTAACTCTAACAGTTATTAATGGTGTCATAGCAGAACTTGGTCTAAAATGCAGTGAAGCACATTCCAATATGCATGTATTCATCTAACTACTGTATCTGGTCAGGTCCAAGAATTTGGAAATAAAGCAGCTTTGGAGCTTGGACTTCCTTTCCAAAATAGGTATGAAATCCCTTAAAAACACATTACAAGTCACACTGAAAACTAACAAGTTGAAAATAATTTCTCAGACTTTAACCCCATCTGAAGAACCTCTGGATGATACTCAACCTCGGCACGAGAGAGCATGGCAACAGCTGTAGCCGCCGCTGCAGCAGCTTCCTCAGACAGTATCTGGGATGATTTCCATCACGTACACAAAAGAGACCCCAACGTACCCTTTCATGCCAGTTTCATCACACGAATACAGAGTGTGGTTCATTAGGACACTTAACAGGCCTCTCTTAATCAGTGAAGCTCTCCAGCTCAGAATTCTCTTAAGTACATACAGACACCTCTAAGATCAAGGCAGCAAATTCACCTTCTCCAAGAACTGATGGAGCTGTCTCTGAAGATAAAAGCCAGAAAATGCAACTTGGAAGTCTGAGCAAAATTCAAACTAAAGCTTTCACTGAAGACATGGTCAAACAATTTGTTACAGCATAATGAAATCAATGCTCTGCTTTTGTTTTCAAACAAGGAGCTTTTTTCCCCCCTCCTCTGTTGCTACCATCAGAAGCAGTTGAGAACCTGGGAAGCCTTCTCATGAATCATTTTGCAACTGTTGTGTATGCTTTTTCTTTTTTCTGGGAATTGATGTCAAAATTCTTATAAGTACCAAAATATCATCTTCCTACTCCTCTTGCAACTATAATTTCAGCTTTTCTAGGTCTGACAGATCCAAAAAACCATCTTCTCTGCTTGCCAGAATGAGGCTGTGAATCATTGTATCCAGTTTCACACACACCAGATTTGAGTAATTTGTTGGAACACATCTGAAATACGATCTGATGCACGCTGTTTTTTTGGAAGACTTAATAGGCAGTCCTAGCAGATCACAAGTTGTTCTACTGTCTCAATATTGCACAAATGAAGCTCCATTCCCTTCAAAGATGAGCATCGCTAGTACGGCAGATCCTTCAAGTCCCCACGCAGAAGTTCTACTTAAGGCAAACAACCAAATTTTCATTTTAGTTTTGTACCTGATGTGGCTGTTGTTTCTATCACAGCACCTCCACCACAGTCCTTAAAGGACAGCGGCCATCGCTACTCCCCCTAAAGCTGTGTTCACTGTCAAGACTGAGAAACTATCTGCTTGACCATTTGTGAAATTTATCCAACTAATCTTTGTCGTTACTGAAGTCCATTATAGGCAACTGGTCTCAGCTGGTGTAGCCCAACTAGAGTACCTACCACGCAGAGGGCTCAGTAAGGACGATACTGCATGCCACTGCAAGGAAACCCTCAGGTTCTTGCAGTGGTGCCTCTGTAACAGTTCAGTCATGGAGTAAGAGAGTGGGCACTACAGCACAATCTCAGGGGCTAAATTCAGGACAAAATTAACAGTTGAGAAAGAAATTTTATTTCAAGCTTCTAAGGGGGTATTACAAACAATAGAGAGAATAAAAACATTAAAAACTATTTAAAAAGTAATTGTCCCTTTAAAATAAAGACTCAAGCAGGTTTAACAATGAAGTATGCTATTCAATGAAGTTTTAAAAAAAGATTTAAAAAGTACTGGTTTTGCTGTATTTGCTAATCCTTTATAAAAAAAGCTGGGCATAAATACTTCGTGCATTCATATGCATTATTTGGTGTTTCATATTATATAACTTGGTACAGTATTTAAGATATCACTGCAAAAGAGTTCAAACACAGTGCATTTATAAATAATGGAGTCATTATAAATCACATTGCAAACATACCTTGCCATTTTCATTGTTACAAATTCGGTATCTCAGTGAAGGTAGGAATAAAGTAGCTACAACAATCAATATCTTGACTTTATTTTTTTTCTTTTTAATATAAAAATGCAGTTCTGGAAACCCACCCTCCTTCTTCCCCCTGCCCAAACATAATGCTTTACTTCTTAAAAATAAAAATAAAGTACTAATTCTATATACATCACATGTACCATACAAAAATGTATCCAAAGTTTCTATTGCTACCAAAGTGTTCTAAATTAAAAGTTACATAAATCCCCTCATTGGAAACAAAAGATTACAGGTTACAAAAAAATCAAATTACACACAAACCATCAAGTTATTTTATACAATTTCCAATACATTTTTCTCCCAAAGCAAGTTGTCTTCTTATGTGCCTGTATAAAAATGCATATCAATATATTTGTCAATTTTATTTTTCATTATAAAGCAAATTAATACATTTTCTACAATAAATAAAACACAGGGAGGCACACATACCAACAAAATTAAATGAACGGGAGATAAATGGGATATGGTTTTGAAAGAAATAATGTGCTTGCAGGCTTTAAGCCAGGTTTGTTTAAAACAAAAAGAATCTTAAGTTATTTTGGGCAACAATGGAGTGTTTTTGGTGATTTGCAAGTGATGTACATAGTATAATTTTCTTCTTGAAGTCTTTCTCACAAAGTACCCTCCAAAATAATGCAACATCCTTTCTTAAAATACATATTTGTAATTGTAAATTTACATCAATCTTAAATATGTGGTACTTTGTGCAAAGAGCAACGATTTACACAAACATTCAGGAGTCTTTTTCAGAAGCTACAGACCAAGGAAGAAATGATACAAGCAGCACCATATTGTATATGATTCAGGCAAACATATATTTGATGCCATTTTGATATTAGGCTTTAAGATCCACTAAACACCTTAAGCTGGAAGATGGTGCTTAGGTAACTTAACCTCAGAAAGAAACGAAAAAAAAAGTAAAAAGCATGGAAACAAAAACCAACTCCCTCCCCAGCAAAATTATAAAAGGAATTAAAGAGCTACTTCTAAAATCAGAATAAGTTAAGTGTTGAATATACATTTATGTACAATTATGAACACTATGAACAAGACATTTTAACAAGTTTAGTGGAAAATCCTCCAAACTACAACACGATAAAATCATTAATCAATATGGCAATGGTGATTTAGAAGAATTGCTCAACTATTTCAAGTTTGCAGAACTCAGCCACTGAATCAACAATTAAGGGGTTGTATCTTCAATACATTCTTTTAGACAAAGAGGTTCATTAGTAGAGTTCAAGTCTGTGTGGTATCTTCATGCCTCGGTAGAATCTCTGTTAGTCAATATCACTGAAGTCACTGACTGGTTCTCCATGGACTCTACTCAGGTGATTCATAGCACGATCAAAAGCAATTCTTACTGCTTTTCGTATGCTTGAGTTACGACCTTCCATCATTTTTAACTTGTCTATAGTCTCATCTATCCCAAGGGGAACCATTTTGGACTTGGGAAGCCACTGCCTGTAAGAAAGGGTAAAATAAGTATGTTAAATATAGAATAAAATCAAGAAGTTTGTCCAGAAATGTCTACCACACTGTGTTTCTCATAGACCAGATCAGATTTACAATCTTAAATGAAGTGAGAAAATTCTTCTTAAGATAGTACTTACTTGCCTTAAATAACAGGAAATATTAAGAAAGCCTCTTCCACAAAACAAAGAATACATTTCAATTCAGTGATACTTATTTGATGATTGATATTAAATATCAACTGAAAAAAATTAGCATGGAATACTGATGCGGTTTAGTTTAAGAACAGGCAGCAGCAACTAACAATGAACAGGACACAAGGTTAATTTGACAGAGTATTGTTTCTCCTCATTCTTTCATTTCCATTAGTTCAAGGAATTTGCAGATGATGAATTTTTGCCTTACATTTAATACATCTCAATTTGGTCTTTATGGGGAAAGCTACACTGCCAGGAAGTTCTGCTTTTACCCCACAGTATGAAATCTCACTAACTCAGTATTCAGGGTACTCTTCTGTTTTAAGCACCACGAATATCATTAATTGCTGGGCACAGAGGACTGATAATGAAAGAAGCTCTAGATCCCATTCTTCTTGTTAAAGGAAAAGCATTCTAAGTAATTACAAATGTATGAACTAAATTTACTTCATTTCCATAAATGTTTATCTTAATCCTCTTTTCTTATGTTACAGGTATTAAGGAAAACAAAAGTTAGGTAAACGAATGAATATCTATTAAAGTATGTTACTGTAGTCTGCAATTCCAACCCTGCAAATGGCAGAAGCCATGCTTCTGTTTAAAAACTTCAGTTTGGGAATCCATTTGGACTCAAACCAACTGCAAATCAGACAGTAAAGTCTGATATAAAACATTTTCTCCAGATATTTTAACTGAGTAAAACTGTCTCTTGAAATACTGTTTTTTATTAAAGCACTCTAAACTACAACCCCATTGTACTGAGCACACACAATGAAACAAAAAAATGTGAAGAGTCACTGGAATCCTGTGCAACTTAAAAAAGATCATGAAGAAATACCAATTAATTAAGAAAAGAATTGAAGAACAGAGAGCAAGCCAAAGAATCATGATTATTCCAAACAACCTATGGGGACAGGAAAGCAAACATCAGTTCTAAATTTCACGCAGGAAGTTATTTAGGTGATAGCATACTAGGACAGAGAGAGTGAGGAGAATGGCAGCATTTCGAGAACATCACATATGATCAGCTAAAGAGGAAAATGGTATCTGTTAAGTGTAAGCAAATTCAACAGTAAAATTGAGATATAAGGATTTAAAGCTAGCTTGAACTGTGTGGAAACCTGGGGAGGAGACGGATTAAGAACAACACAGGAAAGAAATATGTAACTTGATGAAAGCAAGAAAGAGAGGTAGATGAAAAGCTTCCGTATCTGGCAAACCCCCCTCCCCCCCCAAACAACCAAACAAAAATACACCAAAAAACCCTAACTTTAAAAAAAAAAAAAAAAAACAAACCACAATAAAAAACTAGCAAAAGGGGAAGAGAATATTTTATTGTGTGAATTATCCCTTCAGGCTCCACACAGCATATTGCTGATGCTGAAAGAAATGGAAAAACGGAGTATTTAATGAAAAAATTTAGAAAGGCCTAAGAACATCAAATGACAGTGTTAGTAAAGCATTTAACTAGAGAAATTAAAAATTTGAAGAAAATGCACTTGAGCAGACTGGGGGGGGGAGTGTTGTCATTTGGAAAGCAAAGACTAAAAAAATATTACCTTAAAAAAAATCTGTTTAGCCAAAGAAGCAAATTTATCAGGTCAACAAATTAAACCAGCTTGTAAATCAAACCAAAAGGCTACTCATTTTTCTTATTTTCTTCCAAACTGACCATAAAAAGCTATCTTTCAGTGATGATATGCCTTGGTCCAAGAACAGACTCAAATATGAAATTTTAACATTACAGTTGATACTTCCATAGGAAAGATCATGTTTCGATTTTATTTTAGACTAAAGGCTTTTAAAATTTTAAGTCACTGCATCAAACAATGTATTTCAATAACATACCAACTTCTTTTATTGTCAAAAAATAGTACTAAGAATAGTTTCTCGTCTGATTTGGTCTGCATTTGTTCTCCAATTTTCAGTACATCCAGAGGTGGCACTGGTATAGTAACACCGTTGTGATGGCCAGCAACACGAGGCATCTTAGGGTCAATAATCTATAGAAGAGAAGAAAGGACAGTTCCTAATTTTTAAAACAATGTGATTTATTTTAAGCAGTTATTACAAGTAAAGTTAATGGGAAAAGAATCATAAACTAAACAGCCACTGGACATAAATTTGCTTTGTATTACATACTTACATAACTTCTTGACATAAGATGACTAGGCATAGTGGAGGCCTAGAGCATTTTTCACCTCATCAATTCTTAAAAGTTACATTTGAATTTCACTTAGCACAATTTTGCAGACTGACAAGCAGGTTTCAGAGTGAGAACATTGTACCAGGATTTCTAAAAGCAACTAGTCATAAGCAGCCTCAAATTTTTGTTTTTGAATTTCAGGTATCTTCAAAGAAACAACCTATTTTAAGGTATAAATACTTGCTTCTGCAAAATACAAGCCCCACACTCAAAATCTGGAGGGAAAAAACCCTCTAAACAAGCAAAAAAAAAAAGAAACCCAAACAGAAAAAAAAGAAATCGGAAGTCACTTTCAAGTATCTTGCATATCCAATTTAATGACTCAGTTTTAACCATGCAGTTAGAGTCACAATTTTTTTTCTAAACAAAGGTTGGGAGAGGGGAAAAGATGCTGCTAAAATTAAACTGATCAGGCTGATGGAACAACTCCTTTGTAGGCAGACCACAGCACTGTCAAGCGCCCAGCTTCCACCAAAGAGGGATTATGTTACTTCATGCCTGTTCCGCCCAACTCCTACCCTATAAACCTCTATTGTTTTTCTAGCATCCACACTGGCACCAATCTTAATCCACAGTAAACTGATTATGGGAACTAAATCAACAGAAAGCTAACACTGTGGGGAGTTTACAAATTGGGAGAAGGACTTTCTTTTGACTGAGGTTTAATTCCTCAATCACACTGAGAAACACCAGTGCTGACATAAAGGAGTGGGCAGAAAAGGAGCCCATTTGGTCATGATGAGCTTGTTCTAACACTGAAGTGTTAACACCATTCAAAAGACAATCAAATCATCAAGCATTCATCACTTCACCCAAGAGCGTTCAGGTCACCCACTGAAGGCACTTAAGTGCTCTGAATCTCACCTCCACAGTTTTTATAGAATCATGGAATGATTTGGGTTGGAAGGGAGCTTTAAAGGTCATCTAGTCCAACCCCTCTGCAATGAGCTGAGACATCTTCAACTAGATCAGGTTGCTCAGAGCCTCGTCCAACCTGACCTTGAATGTTTCCAGGCATGCGGCCTCTACCACCTCTCTGGGCAACCTGTGCTAGTGTTGCATCCCCCTCATTGTGAAAAATTTCTTCCTCAGATCTAGTCTAAATCTACCCTCTTTTAGCTTAAAACCATTACCCTTTGTCCTATTGCAACAGGCCCTGCTAAAACCTGACTCTGATTACATTTCCTGATGTCCCCAGAACACATTAAAACAGTCATGACTGCCCAGTCTATTATATAAATCAAGCCATAGTGTATAAACTGTTTCCATAACCCCAAATGCCTAAAGCCAAACACTCAATCAACAACATTTTCTCTGCAAGCTTTGATTTAAGTAAAACTGTGTGTATTTCTCCTAAAATAACATGGGCACAACAGCTTTAAGTTTTCTAGTACATCATTCACAACTGGATGCAACCATTCAATTTATTCTGACTCTACCAAGTTTTTTGCTTCTTTAATGAACTGCAGAATCAGAAGTATTTTTATACTCATTTTGCAGCAGAAAACGTCTTACAGTTCCAACACTAACAAGATGCCTGCCAAATGCTTATTCTGTTGACCCCTTAAAAAATAATATAAATTGCAGAAGCAAAGACTACTGAGACAGATGCACTGGTTTTGGTTGGGATAGAGTTGATTTTCTTCATAGTAGCTAGTATGGGGCTATGTTTTGGATTTGTGCTGAAAACAGCATTGATAATATACGGCATGTTTTCATTATGGTTGAGCAGTGCTTACACAGAGTCAGGGCCTTTTCTGCTTCTCACACGACCCCACCCTGGGGTGGTGAGACCAGAGGTTAGAGTGGACACCGCGAGGACAGGTGACACCAACTGACCAAAGGGATATTCCATACCATATGGTGTCATGCTCAGCATATAAAGCTGGGGGAAGAAGAAAAGAGGGGACATTCGGAGTTACGGTGTTTGTCTTCCCAAGAAACCATTATGCATGATGGAGCCCTGCTTCCCTGGAGATGGCTGAACACCTGCCTGCCCCTGGGAAGTGGTGAATGAATTTCTTGTTTTGCTTTGCTTGTGTGCATGGCTTTTGCTTTACCTATTAAATCGCTTTTCTCTCACCCCACAAGTTTTCTCACTTTTACCCTTCTGATTCTCTTCCCCATCCCACCAGCTGGGAGTGAGCGAGCAGCTGCGTGGTGCTTAGTTGCCATCTGGGGTTACACTGTGACAACAGATATTGCACATCTCAAAAGATGGGTAGGGTAGCAGACATTATTGACTCAACATCTGGTATTGCAATCATTTTACAAACTGATGTATGGTAAAGAGGGCAGAATAATCCACCTTTATTCATGCTGAATGGGAGTTTATCAATTACCTTAAGCTCATGCACAGATACTTTCAGATCAGAAACGGTATCACTTGTGTACGGAACCTATGTACTTACCAGAGCTGGGTAAGAGGGGTATCCACTGCATTTGGCCCATACTACTTTTAGAGGCTCAAGAACAGATGTTGCAGCATCAGTTGAAATCCACATACTGCTATGCCCAACTTCTACAAACAAATAATAATTAAATATAAAATTGTTAAAGAATGAAAATTCAGACAAATCTTCTGCAGTTCTTAATTTTCCTCAGCAATATCTCATAACTGTTAGAATCCAAATACCAATACCACCTTTCAAGCACACACCAATAAAAAGTAGGTAATGTTCATAACAGCTCTTTAAAGGTAATGTTAATACCAGTACTTTAATCCAAACATACAGATAAAGTTTTTAAGACACTTCTAGAAACAGGCTATCTTAAACACCTTAATTCTCAGAAAGCACGTTTGCAAAATTCTAATAATCTTTTCCCATTGAAAAAAGCTCAAAAGAAAACATAAAATTATGGTACTCCAAATAACCAGTTTCTTTTGAAACTACAACAACAATCCTGTCAAAGAGGTGATGGTATTGAAAATGCAAGTTGCATGGTATGTTTCCAAGGCATTAGATGTAACAGTACAATTAGCACCTGAATGCTTGTCTGGTATACTTTTCTATTCTTATGCATAAGTTCTAATCGACATTTTTATTTCTATGTATTTATTTATTTTTAATCATCCCTCTTGGTCTTTCTGCCCATCTTTTCCCTGCAGCAGAGTTCAAAAAGACCAACGGTGTTTGAAGAAGCAGCTGTAACAGTAGGTTTTTTCCTTCTCAGCTGGCAGCATAATAGAAAATGGAGTTTACGTTACTGCTTGCTTCTACCAGAATCCTTCATTATCTTCTCTATTGCTCATGACTGGATTGAAGCATGAGACATATAAGCCATTCAGTCAACCAGAACCATGACTGGCCCCCTAAGACACACAGGGATATGGTCAAGAGACTGGGCAGAAGACAGTAAGTTATCCTCTCAAGATGAAACTGGGGGTGGAAAAAGTAGGAAGAAGGGAATGAAAGTTCTCAAGCTGTAAAAATGAGAAGGTACTCCGGTACAGGGGAAATGTGGTACCAAAATGCAGTTCAGAGGTTACTACTGCACTTCACAGTAAGGCAACGCTTGACAGAAGTAGCTCTCTACTTGTCAAAATACGATTTATTCCTCAATTCTTCCCAGTCTGTTACCATTTAAAATAGGCAATGCTTATTTATAATGAAATGTGGCATGCAGATCTATGTTCCACCTCAACATCACAAAAAGCACTGGAATAAAAGTGTTTTCAAACCTTGTAAGAGTAGAAATAGCAAGGACAACGTGTTTAAGATTATCACAAAAAAGAAAAAAAAAAAGAGGTCAATCATTCTCCACAATATATTCTAAGTCAATATTCAGCCACAGGCTATTAATTAAATTCTAATTCATTTTTAATCTATAGTGGTATCAACATTTCAAGAAAATACTTCATTGAGAAGTCTAACTTTAGAGATTCACATCTATGTAACATTAGTTATCAAAATGCAGTAATTCATAATAACTTGCCACCACAGCATAATGAAGATGTTGGATGTTTTTGAAGCTAAAAGTAGTTACAGGTTCTATTATAGGTGTAGGTATCATAGGAGTAAGAAAAACAAATGCAATTTTTCCAGTGCCTGTAAGGCCTCGAACAACTCTCCTAAAGAAGACAGGGTTCTTTCCTATCAATCCCAGCAGGCTTTACAGAGATCTTTAATTAGTGGAGTCCATTACACAAAACCATGAAAACAACTTAAGTCTTATTTATACTATTTCTTACTGAACTACATAATCTTGGAAAAACAGTTACTAAATCTATTTACTGGTTTATTTGCTCCTTTCTGTATACTTTTAAATAGGTCATTTTAGGACATTCTTCACTTTCTCAATATAGCATTTATAAGCATATAATACACACAAATATAATCACAGAATCACTAGGTTGGAAA